CCAGCTACTCCTCGGAAACCCTATACAAACTGAGTTCTGTTGGTTCTGACTAATAGCAACCCTGTATAGAGTCTCCAAGGAACAGCTAGTGGATTTGAACCACCAACCTTATGGTTAACAGCCAGTGCTGATCCTACAGTGCCTCACCAGGACTCCATGTGTGTTAAATATCATCCTTGGTTGATATCTTATTAGTTTATCACCTCAGATCACATCATGGAAGATCTTCATATAACTACCAAACTACTGAGAATCATGGCCCACACAAGCTGACACATATTTTGGAGGGATACAAAAGATTTTAAGACACAACATCAAGCTTTGATTTAGACTTGAAGAGATCCCTCTGACTACAGGGCAATGTGTGCAACTAAGACAAGTAGTGCAAAGGTCCAGCAAGGCAAGAATGACTTGGATCTGGGTAATTGCAACTGGGAGAGATGGAGAAAAGTGAAGGCTATAAGAAACATTCAGGAAGTGGAATGGGTTGAATGTAAGACGTAAGTGAGAGGAGTGGAGGTGGTAGTCTGGTGGTTCTGACTCATAGTGACCCTGTACAGGGTTTCCGAGGCTGTAAATCTTAACGGGAGCAGAAAGCCTCAATGTTCTCCCGTGGAATCGCTGGTAGTTTTGAACTAGCTGACCTTGATGTTAACAGCCCGGCTCATAACAACTATGCTACCAGAGCTCCATAGTGAGAGGAGTGGTCAAGCGTAATTCCCAGACTTCTGGCACCAATCAGTCAGCATGGACTAGGACCATGTTTTGGATGATCGGGAGTGACAAAAAATATTCAAGTAGAGATAATGAGTGTATTCATGTGGATCTCAGAAGAGAGGTCATCCAAATCCAGATGGAAACTGAAGCCCTAGGAGTGGATGAAACCACTAGGGAGAGTGGCTGGAATGTGGACTATGACCCAAGAATTGAAATGCATAGCAAATGTTTAAAATAATCTCACTCTCACTGAGGAGGAAACATGCTAACCTAATGAACTTTAGAAATGAGTGGAGACTAAAAATTTACAACTCTGTACATAAGCACGGTACTCTAGTTGCTAATGGTGTCCATAGGAACATGGGTTAGCAATTTTGGATGACTATGGAATCCTGGTGTGGCACTGTAGAATAAGTACTGGACTGTTAACTACAAGGTTGGCAGTTCAAACCCTCCAGATAGCTGCTCTTTGGAAACTCTTGTTGTTGTTAGGTGCCATCAAGCTGATACCAACTCATAGCAACCCTACGCACAACAGAACAAAACGCTGCCCGATCCTGGGCCAACCTCACAATTGTTGCCATGCTTGAGCCCATTGAAGCTGCCACTTTGCCAATCCATCTTGCTGGAAGTCTTCCTCTCCTTCTCTAACCTCCTTCTCCAGTTACTGGTCCCTCCTGACAACATCTCTGAACTTTGAGAGACGAAGTTTGGTCATCCTAGCCTCCAAGGAGCACTCTGGCTGCACTTCTTCCAACACAGATCTGTTGGTTCTTTTGGCAGCCCATGGCACTTTCAATATTCTCCTCCAACACCATAACTCAAAAGCATCAATTCTTCTACGGTCTTCCTTATTCACTGTCCAGCTTTCACATGCATTGAGGTGACCATTGAAACCCTGTTGCTGTTGTTAAGTGCTGTCGAGTCAATTCCAACCCAAAATGACCCTGTATAGGGTTTCCAAGGAGCAGCTGGTGAGCTCAAACCACTGACCTTGTAGTTCAAACGGCTTTGCAGTCTGGCGTATTAACCCACAGCACCATACCAGGACTCCGATGGAAACTCTATACAGGGTCAATATGAGTTGGGACCAACTAGATGGCATGTATAGGAGTCCTGGTGTGGCACTGTAGGGTAAGCACTGGACTGCCGCAAGGTCAGTGGTTTAAACATATCAGCCGCTCCTCATAAACTCTATACAGGGTCATTATGAGTTAGAACTGATTTGGCAGTGCTTAACAACAACAATCCTTGTATAATGAAATTGAACAATTAAGTAAATGGATGACAAATAGTAGGAACCAAGTCTCTCATACGTCAGACATATTATCAGGCAGGACTAGTCCCTGGAGAATGACATCATGCTTGGTAAAGTGGAAGGTCAGCAAAAAAGGGGAAGACCCCCAATGAGATGGATTGGCCCAATGGCAGCAGCAGTGGGCTGAAGGATGGCAACAATTGTGAGGTTGATGCAGGACCCGGCAGTTTCATTCTGTTGTGCATAGGTTGCTATGAGTCAGTACCAAGTTGAGAGCGCCTAACAATAACAGGATTGGAGGAAGACTCATTAACAACCTGCGATATGCCGATGATACAACCTTGCTTGCTGAAAGTGAAGTGGACTTGAAACATTTACTTATGAAGATCAAAGAGCACAGCCTTTGCTATGGATTGCATCTCAATGTCAAGAAAACAAAAATCCTCACCACTGGACCAATAAACAACATTCTTATCACTGGAGAAAATATTGAAGTTGTCAAGGACTGCATTCTTCTTGGATCAACTGTCAACACTTGAGGAAGCAGCAGTCAAGATATCAGACAACGTATTGCATTGGGCAAATCTGCTGCACAGGAGCTTTTTAAACTATTGAAGAGCAGAGATGTCAGCTTGAGGACTAAGGTGCGCCTGACCCAAGCTATGGTATTTTCAATAACCTCATATGGATGTGAAAGCTGGATAGTGAATAAGGAAGATCATAGAAGAATTGATGCATTTGAGTTGTGGTGTTGGAGGAGAATACTGAAAGTGCCATGAACTGTCAAAAGAACCAATAGATCTGTTTTGGAAGAAGTGCAGCCAGAGTGCTCCTTGGAGGCCAGGATGGCTAAGCTTCGTCTCTCATATTGTTGTTGTTGTTGAGTGCCGTCGAATCGGTGCTGGCCCATAGCGACCTTGTACAGGGTTTCCGAGGCTGTAAATCCTTACGGGAGCAGAAAGCCTCATCTTTCTCCTGCCGAGCAGCTGGTAGTTTCGAACTGCTGACCTTGCGGTTCGCAGCCCAATTCGTAAGCACTACGCTACCAGAGCTCCTTACTTTGGACATATTGTCCGGAGGGAACAGTCGCTGGAGAAGGATGTCATGCTGGGTAAGGTGGAGGGTCAGAGAAAAAGAGGAAGACTCCCAACGAGATGGATTGGCCAGGTGGCATCATTGATGGACTCAAGTGTGACAGAGGTAGTGAGGTTGGCCCAGGATCGGACATTCTTTTGTTCTGCTGTGCATGGGGTCGCTATGAGTCGGTTCTGACTCGATGGCACCTGACAACAACAACAACAACAATAACAACAGCCCCACGTGACTTACTTCCAATCACTATACTACTGGAAGTGGGGGACTAACTTTAAAATGTGAAACATGACAAGCATTATGACAGCCAGATGATCAAGATTAGGCTGAACGGTAGTAAGTACTGTTGTATGCTCCTTTGATCTGATGCAATATAAATGACACTTTTTACTTCTGAGGCCTTCCAAAAAACCCTCATAACCTCTGTCTAATCATGAGAAAACCATCAAGCATACTCTAACTGAGGAACAGTCTATAAAATACCTGATGAGCACTTCTCAAAACTATCAAGACATTAAAACCAAGAAAGTTTTAGAAACTATCAGTCTAGAGGAGCCTATGGAAACAGTACATAGAACAGAAAACAGGATTAGGAAATTTGAATAAAGTATGGACTTAGTTAATTTTTTGAAGTTTGATAAATAAAAATAACATACTATTTATAAGGAATTTAATATATAACACTTGTTAAGTTCCATCCAGTTGGTTACAACTCATAGCCACCCTGTATAGGATTTCCAAGGCATGAAGCTGTAAATCTTTGCATGAGCAGAAAGCCTCATTTTTCTCCCACGGAGCAGTTGGATTGCCAACCTTGTGCAAACTAGCCACTGCACTCCCTTTAACATGTGTTTTTGAGCATTATTGGCACTGTCCACAGCTCCTCTATCAGTTTGTCATACTCTGTGACTTGCTCGTTGCTGTGATGTTGAAAGCTATGCCCCTGGTATTTTCAATACCAACAGGGTACACCCATGGGAGACATGTTTCACTTGAGTTTTCAGAAGAAGGAAGGAGAGGTGGAATGCTTCTGAATGTTTAATCAAAGGCTCATAGTTCTCCGCGGTGTAGGTGGTGCGTTCGAACCATGGACCTTGTGGTTAGCAGTCTAATGCTTATACTAAAGGGCCACAACGCTCCCTATAACATGTATTATTAAGCATTATTGGCACTGTGGTATGGCTGGATACTACAAACCAGACTGAATTTCCTGGAAGCAATAAGAACGGTTCGGGTGCAAGGGATGTATCAAATTTGCGCCCACAACAACTTCCATCCAGGAAAGGAAAGCAAAGGACCCCAAAACACACCACCCCTCTTGCTCCTTCCAATTTAGCCCCTGTCTGCCCCTCCCCTTTCGTTCTCCTGGGCTCATCCAATGGAAGGTTGGCTCTGTGTAAACCTACTATGCGCACGCGCAACGCCTGTTCGCCATCGACTGGCTCAGTAGCAACTTCTTCAGCCTGATGCCACGGCTGACGTAGGCTCTATCTCTGTTGCTGTTGCGCCGCCATTTTGGCGACGGGAAGAGTCCGAGTCTTGGATAGCTGAAAGCGGCCGTGGTAACTGGTACGGATGTTTTCCGCCTGCATTAACCCTTCCAAATTCGCCCCGCTTCGGCCCAGGGCCCTCGGTATTGTCCCTATTTCCACAGGACCCCGTTTGTTGCTCCCATTCACCCTGTCATTGTTTCCCTAGGCACTTTGTTTCTTCATCCTTCAACTCCTGAAACTTTGCTTCGGAAACCCGCCCAAATGGCTCAGGGCTGCCAGGCCGCTTCTGTGTCCTAAAGGGGCTGGGGGCGCCTTCGGGGCTCCGGGGGGCTCGAGGCTTGTGGAGGGCTTCATCTGTCACTAGCCTGTTTTGTTTTGTCCTTTCCCAGGAATAACTTTTCAAAAGGAAAGATATTTTGTGTCGGCTCTCTCCGCGAGAAATGGCCAATGTGAGTAAATTCACCTTAAAAGAATCAGTAAATAGTTTGGAGACTTGTTTGGAACTCGAAGGGCGGTTTGACGATGGCCTTGGTGAGACAATGTCTCCCGATTACAATCGTTGGTATCAGAATGTCAAGGGGTGTGAAAATACTACCTTTTAAAAGTAATTTGAATATAAACGTTTGGGCAACTAACTGCAAGGTCAGCAGTTCGAATCTACCAGTCGTCCACTAAGCTTTCTGGTCCCGTCTCGGAATTTACAGTCTCGGAAACCCTAAAGAGGGTCGCTATGAGTCAGAACTGACCCAATGGCACACAACCAGCACCGTTCGCTATAAGTGTGCTTATTACCCGATTTAGTTTTCAAAGTAGAGATTCAATGCAAGCAACCTTTCGATATTTTTTAGAACATCATTTCAGTAAATATTTAGATTTTTTGTTAAGTGCTTTCGGTTGGTTCCAACTTGACAGCAACCCTGTATTGGGTTTCCGGTGAGCCGCTGGTGGGCTTTAACTGCCAGCCTTATGGTCGGCAGTCCAGTGTTTATAAACTACTGGTCCACACCAGGACTCCCTATAAAGATTTGTACCCTCTGAAACCCTAGACAGGAATTGGTAGCAGTGGGTTTGGTTTGGGAGTGGGTAGGATTTAAATAGCTGAGATTTGGGAGGGGAAAAAGGATTATAATCAAAGAACTGCTCTTTTAAAAATCAGGATGTCATTTCTCACTGTGGTGTGTAGGATAAGCACTGGACCACAAGATCGGTGTGAACTGCAAAGTCAGCTTTACGGAAAACCCTATACAAGGTCGCTATGAGTTGGAACCGACTTGAGGACATTTAGAAACACCAACAACATATATGTGTGAAGATTAATGGGAGATAGTAAAGTTGGGCAAGACCCCAAATGAAATGGATTGATGTAAGTGGGAGCAACAGTGGCCTCAAACATAATTGTGAGGATGCTAGTCATAGGGTCGTTATGAGTCGGAATGACTAGACAACACTTAACAGCAGCAACATGTGAAGATGGGGCCATGAATGCCGAATTCAGTAACTTAGACTTTATTCTTTCAGTTGGGGTGGGTCACTGAGTATTTTGCCCAAGAATGTAGCTTAAATATAGCAGTACATTAGAAAGGTTAATATAACAATTAGGCTGGTATTCCCGTAATTGAACTTGATATATTATGCATATTAAGCAAGTTTTAAGTTGTGACTTAAGAGCAATGAATCTTGATGTGATGCTGTATGATGAGCACTGGACTGCTAACCACAGGTCAACAATTCAGACCCACAGGACTCCTAGTGTGGCACTTTAGGATCAGCAGTGGACTTTGAACCACAAGGTCAGCAGTTCACACCCACCAACTGCTCATCGGAAACCCTATACAGGGTGGCTATGAGTAGGAACCAACTCCATGGCACTTAGCAGCAACTAGAAGAGAGCAGGGCTGAATGCTAGATCATATTCGCATGTATTAAGGTAAATTTTTACCTGGCTATAACCTGGATAGGTTGGCATTTCAAACTTATTAGCCAGTCCTTGGAAACCCTATACAAAGTCACTGTAAGTCAGAACCAACTCGATAGCACTTTACAACAACAGAGGAGTCAGTGTGGTGCTGTAGAATAAGCACTAGACCACAAGTTTGTTTGAACCACAAGATCGGCGGTTCAGTCACCAGCCGCTCATTGGAAATCCGTATACAGGGTTGCTATGAGTCCAAACTGACTTAACAACAACAAATGACAACAGAGGGAAAGAAAAAGGACATTTTAGCAGAATAAGTTTATGATGGTATAAAAGATAGCAAACAAGTATTGGAAGGTTGGGAAATTATTTTTGTATGACTGACAAATGAAGTAAGAGAAGGAGGGTAAAACAGGAAGTTATGAATATGTCAAAAATGAATTCGGAAAGAACAGTTGGATTTCAGAATATTAAGAAAGGGAAAAAATTATTTTGAAATACAAAGTTGGGCAGGACTATTTCATCATCCTGGTAACTAATTTAATACTGTCTCTCTATTCCCACATGAGTCCATTCTTTATACTGCTGTTAGTGATCTTATAGTCCTTATTTTATCAGTTTAGTCCGACTGCTCACTGCCAGCCGATTAAAACTCTGACTTATAATCATATTGTAACAGACCTTTTACTATGTGTCAAATGCAAAGCCCTTTATATAAGTTTGCTCACAAGTTAGCCTTTAAGCTTATTTTTTACTGTTTTATGTCTATCCTCACTGAACTCATCACTCTTCTGAATATGCAGCCTGTTTATGACTGTACCATTGTTCCTGATAGTCATTCAAAAATGCCCCCTTTCTATAACAAATTTCTACTGATTCTTCAAAACTTAGTATGGTTTATGAAGCTTCTCCTGGCTCTTAAATTTTTTCGAAGTACTTCACAGATTGAATGATATTTACTTTTATGTATTTTCCACTAAACCAAGAATCAGCAAATGTTTTTATGTAGCGACAGATAGTAAATATTTTAAGCTTTCTAGGTCATAGAATCTCTCTTTCACCTGCTCAACTCTGCTGGTAGATGCTGTATAAGGAAGCGGGTGTGGTTTTGTGTTCCTATAAAACCAATTGTAAAGATAGTCTGCCCATCCCTGCATTAAATGGTGACCCAAATATTTTGTACAAAGTGTATTCATCAAAGATGTTTTTGTCTTCATCTGTGCAGCTGACCTCAGAGTATCAGAAGTGGACATGGTGGTGGTGGTTATGTGCCGGGGAGTCGGTTCCGTCTCATAGCGACCCCATACAGGGTTTCCGAGGCTGTAAATCTTTACGGGAGCAGAAAGCCTCATCTTTCTCCTGAGAAACAGCTGGTAGTTTCGAACTGCTGACCTTGCAGTTCACAGCCTGATTCGTAACCACTATGCTACATAGGAGCAAAAAATGGCATCAGAAAAGTATGTGGTACAGTGCAGAAAGAAGGAAATTGCCCAAAACAAAAAAACAGGTAGAAAGAATGACATGAGAGTAATTGATCATTGGTTGTATGCTGTTGAATCTGTCCCAACTCATAACAACCCTGTGTAGGGTTTCCAAGAAATCTTTATGGGAGCAGAAAGCCTCATCTTTCTCTCATAGATCAGCTGGTAGATTCGAATTACTGACCTTGAAGTTAGCAACCCAATGTGTAACCCTCTACACTACCAGGGCTGTCTTTTAATAGTAATAGAGTTAGAAAGTAAACAGGTTTTGATCCAAGCTCTCTATCTTGAGGATGAAAGAATCTTAACTAGCTTTGGGTTCATTTTAGTATTGTTAAATTAGAGATTCTCTTTCCTCCTTATGTGTGACACTCTTGAATTCTGGCCATCATTGGAAAAAATGTATTTTTAACCCAGAGTAATTTATTTTACTTCATTTTGGTTGTTCTTAAGAAATATTTTGTGTTTTTAGGTGCTCTGTAACAGAGCCAGACTGGTTTCCTACCTCCCAGGATTGTACTCTTTAGTTAAAAGGGTTGTCAATCCCAGAGCCTTTTCAACTGCAGGATCTTCAGGTTCCGATGAGTCTCATGTGGCCACTCCACCTCCAGATATATGTAAGTTAAAGTTACTGTTACTTGGCTTAAAATTTTTGAAAACATTTTAAATTGTTTATACTATACTAACTTCTTGCAGTTTTGCAGATTTCTTACGTTGTGTTTGTACATTAAATATAAAATCATAACTGCCTAAATATTTCTTTTAATATGCACAATCCTTCCTAAAACAAATCTTTTGATCCTTTTAAGCCATGCACTACTAATTTTTTGCTCTGAAATACTTAAATCACCTCACTTCCTTGATAAACCCTGGTTATTATTTTAACAGCAGTTGCCAAACTATCCTCAAGCTATCTTACATTACTATTGTTCAATGTAAGTTTTGTGGTGGTTCTGTATGTTTGAGAAATGCTATGTTCGAGATTCCTATCTTGGGGTTTTATTATGCACACTGAACTATTAAAGGCTCTTAAAAGGTTAACCAAATATGTCCCAAAGCACTTCTGGTGTGGTGCTTTAGGATTAGCACTGGACCACAAGGTCAATTTGAACCATAAGATGGTGGTTCAAATCCACCAACCACTCCTTGGAAACACTATAAAAGGTCACCATGAGTCAGAACAACTCAACTGCACTCAGCAACAAGAATGTGTCCTAAAGGTATTACACATGAAATCCTTTTTTCATAGAACATGTTACTTACTGTGTAATGGAAGTCTGTTTGGCTTTAAAAAAAAACCTTTAATGTTCCTCTAGTTTTCTTTTATAACTCAATCTCTAACTGCTCCCCAATTTATACCATCTGAAAACTAACCATGTATACCCTTAATAGCAGATGTGTCATCCTGATTGTACCAGTAAGAAACAGTTGCTATGGGTTGAAACCAACTTGACAGCACTTAATAACAACAAGCAAGAGTAGAAAGCCAAAAAAGATGGGGATGGTGGAACATGAATAGGTTGATCACATAAGAGAAAACCTAAGTTACCTATATTGTTTTTAAGAGCCAGCAGAGTCAATTATGACTCATAGTGACCCTGTACAGGCTTTCCAAGGCTAGAAATCTTTGTGGCAGTAGAAAGCTTCATCTTTCTCCCGTAGAGCAGTAGGTGGGTTTGAACTAACAACTTTGTGGTTAGTAGTCCAGTGCCTACCCTATAGTGACACCAGCATTCTTTTAAGTGACCTGTAAATATATGAAACCCATTATTAATATCAGATATTCATTTCTGTAAAGACATAATAATAGTAGCCCTGAATAGTCTTTAAAATCTAATTTGTTCAAAATTAACTAACAGGTTTTGCCATTTGAACTTGACAGTTAGCTTTCTAGAACCTTGTCATTCAACATGATTTCCTAATCAGCAGCAGCAGCATCTGGGAGCTTGAGAGAAATGCAGAATCTTGAGCCCCACTCCAGATTTCTGCATCAGAATCTGCATTTTGACAAGATTGTAAATTCCTATGTACTTTAAAGTTTGAGAAGCATTGGACTAGACTGTTGAAAATTTTGAGGCAGTTTATGGTTTCAGCAGGAAAGAGTGCCTTGATTGATGAGTGTTGCCTTCACAGGTGTAGAAGACAAGGGATAGCATGTCACTGTAATCTTGAGGTACTGCAGCCAGAGTAACATGGCCATTTTCAGTCACTCAGTCCAACCTGAGTATTAAAACCTGCTTTATTGTTATTATTGCCAAGTAATGTGTGTGGCAGTTGTCCTTCTCTTTCTCTAAACCAAATCCTTACTTGGCATATGTAGTACTTTACTTTTTTACTTTATTCTTTTCTGAAACTGGATTTTTGCAAGTTAGAATGTTTTTTTAAGTTGTAAGTGAAAAAAAATAGTGTGGTCTGTTTAACTACACTTATGTGATTCATCTTAACTAATATGGTTCATAAACAGAATTGTGCCACAATTATTCATACACAGTTTTATGTACTGTTCCTCCAGGTAACAGCTGAATACAGAGTACACTGAAGCGGTCTAACTCAACAAGTGACAGAAATATATTGCTCTCCACATTGTCCATTTAATCCTTGTTTTTCACCTTGTTCTTTCTCTTGGCTCATTTTGAGCATGTATTTTGTTTTAGAGGTATCATTTTACAGTTCTTCTAAATCTTTGTGAAAACCTCTCTTTTGTTTTTGTTGTCACTCACAGCGACCTTTTGTAGGGTTTCCAAGGAGCAGCTTGTGGGTTTGAGCTGCTGATCTTGTGGTTCACAGTCCAGTGCTGATCCAACAGCGCCACACCACGAGTCCCTTTACCAACTCTTTTAAAGATAAAGTCCTATTATTTAGTATTTATCATGAAATTTAGTATGTCTCTTTAGCTGTGCTGACATTTGTATTAGCATCATTATTTTTATTAGTCCTCAGGTTATAAAGTTGATTAGATCTCTTCTAATTCTGTGTTATAGTATAAGCCTTATTATTTTGTAAATTTGCCTTTACTCAACAGGAGGTTTTCCAGAAACACTAGACTAGACACATGACACAGTATAGCAGAAATGCTGTAGACTTTAACAATACAGAGTACTGTAGACATTAGCAATACAGAAGTATATGGAATAGAAAACGGAATCCCCATAAACCATTACCCACATCCTGTTCTCCTCCTAAGGGTAACTAACAACCATCAAGTATGGTATTTGTCCTTTTAGATCTCTTTATCTGTATTTGAAAACAAGACTATAAGGACATAAAATAAATGTTGGCCTACATGCTACTCTTTAAGGTGGCATTTTCTTTTTAATGTGTTGTGTTTTCCAAGCATTCTTTAAATTTCTGGTTTCTGCTATACAGATAGTTTTCTTATTTTCTATTCCTTCCATGAATTTTTTCATGGTTTTTTGTTTTTTAAATCTTTTCTGTAGTTCATAGAGATTTTTTAGAAGAAGAGGTAAATACATATTTACAGTCTGCTATCTTTATCCTGGTGTTGCGCTATGGGTTAATGCGTCAGACTGCAAAGCTGTTTGAACTGCAAGGTTGGTGGTTCAAGCTCACCAGCTGCTTCACAGAAACCCTTTCAGAGTCGCTATGGGTCGGAATCGACTCCACGTCACTTTACAACAACAACATCTTTATCATGAAGTACATGTTAATTTTTACATTAAAGTAAAAGTAAATTTCCTAGAAAATGGGAAAATCTGTTTGGAATGATTTATGAACTTTTATAAAATGAGAATGTAAAAAAATGTATCATACTCCAACAACTGGTAAAACTGGATTTCTGCATGCATAAAAATGAAGATTTCATACCTCATGCCATAGTTGACTTGCAAGCCATCTGTAACCATCACCCCATTCTCAGTCTCCATTACCTGGAAGGAGGCTGGCAGTAGATCAAGGATGCAAAGAAGTTAGGAACGTCAAAAATATTTTTAAAGCATGATTAATATTTTCCTTTTGGTCCACATAAGACAGTTGTATCAGATGACCATATCAAAATGCATTTTATTTGTCGAGTCTAAGTAAACAGATTATCAGAGTTTGTTTATTTGATCATAAGGCAACCACTGGTTGCTTTGATTAATACTTTAGAAATGGCATAAGAATAATTTTATATTCATACCAGAAAACAGATTTCAAATATTTTTTTGTTTGTCTAAAGAGAATCTTATTATCATTTAAGTTAAAAAAAAAAAATACATAATTTAATGATGATCCTTCTTCTAGTCTACCCCTTGTCCACTTTTAGGCTCTCGAACAGTATGGCCTGATGAAACTATGGGACCATTTGGACCTCAGGATCAGAGATTCCAGCTTCCAGGGAACATAGGCTTTGATTGTCACCTCAATGGAACTGCTTCACAGAAGAAAAGCCAGGTTCATAAAACTTTGCCTGATGTGCTAGCAGAACCTTTATCAACTGAAAGGCATGAGTTTGTGATGGCACAGTATGTTCATGAATTCCAGGTGAGTCATCTGTATCGTTTATTGTCTTTTCTATAAAAGGTTACATGTTTTCTGATTAATATTAGCCTGTTACTTTCATTTAGGAGTCCTGGTGTGGTGCTGTGGGTTAATGCGTCAGACTTCAAAGTCTTCAGAACTGCAAAGTTGGTGCTTCAAGCTTACCAGCTGCTGCTTGGAAACCCTATACAGGGTCGCTGTGGGTTGGAATCAGCTCAACGTCACTTAACAACAACAACAACTTTCATTTAAAAGCATTTGTAAAAAATTGCTTTATGTTAATATAAACAAACACATGGTTTTTGGGTTTTTTTTTCTCCATACACATGTTTTTTTAATATATGTAATGTTTTTGTGTGTATTTGAATTAAGGTAAATTTTACATATAACTTAAAACATTGGCACTGTCCCATATATATTACTTCTTACATCATTATAATCTATTTTAAGTCATTCTTCAAAATAAGCTTTTAATAGCTATATGTTTCATATATAGATAATACATTGTTGTTGTTAAGTGCTGTCGAGTTGGTTCCAACCCATAGCAACCCTGTATAGGGTTTCTGAAGAGTAGCTGGTGAGCTTGAACTACCAACCTTGCAGTTAAATGGCTTTGTAGTCTGGCGCATTAAACCACAGCACCGCGCTAGGACTCCATAGATAGATAATATAATTATTCCTATATTGTTGTAATTTTAGGGTTCCTATATTTACCTTTTATAAGCAGTAATTATTTGTATCTGGATCAAATTCTGATGAGCTTTATAATCCTTTTACCATTTTGCAAGCTTAAGACAATTACGATATTTCCAGAATTGTTTAAATATGATAAAATAAGAATCTTAGGAAGTTATAAATAAGTTTTGAGGTGTTCTGTTTTGTTTTGTTTTGTTTTTAAATGTCTGAGTTTTTAACTGGTATTGTATCACTGTCTGTTCAAGTGGAAAGTTACATGCAGCTCAGGATTTCTGTCAAGCCCTTGAGGCGTTTCATTTTTCACATTTCCATATGATTTTAAACTTAGGTGGTAGTTTTGTTTGTTTTGTTTTTTATATCAAAATCATATTATGAGGTGTGATTATTATTATGACTTATATGGTCAAACTTACAATGGGACATAGTTGACCTCCTCTGTCTTCTTATCTTGAATAATTTCTTCTCAGACTGCTTGTTATTCTTCAGTCTACCAAGTAAGTCATTATTTCCCATAAGCTTACATGCTTCCTCTTTTCATATGAATTACTCTCTGGTCACTTAATCTCATGGCTTCCACCACACGCTCTATTTTTATTATAATTCAAACATTCTATCTCTAATGTTTCTGAGCATTAGTTCTATTTTTCTGTCCTTTTGCCGAGCACCTTTACCTGGATGTGTGAATCCTTCCATAGTTTACGTATCTAAACCTGGTGGTATAGTGGGTTAAATGTAGGGCTGCTAACTGCAAGGTCAACCCACCAGCCATTCCATGCATGGGAGAAAGATGAGGCTGCTGCTTCCATAAAGCTAAGTTTCAGAAACCCTGAAGAGCAAGTGTACTAATAGCAATCAACTTTGCTGCCAATGGGTTTAGTTTGGCTTCGTGCTGAAGTAGTCCTGTTTTCTCTCAAAATTTGTCACTCTCCCATTACCAGCAGTATAAATGACTTAACCATATATTCACTGTCCCAAGAAGCCAGCCCTGACTTATGTCTGTATCATTCTCTCATAAATAGCAAATGAGCAAATCATATTGCCTCCTTTTCTGAAATAAAAAATCAAACTTATTGCTGTCATATTGATTGGAACTCATAGAGACTCTACAGGATAGAGTTGAACTGCCACATAGGGTTTCCTCGGCTGTAGATCTTTACAGAAGCAGACTGCTACATCTTTATCCCAAGGAGAAGCTGGTGTGTTTGAGCTCCTGACCTTTCAGTAGCAGCAGAGTGGGCTTAACCACAGGACTCCTATCTCTGAATAGCTCCTAAATTTTTAGTTTCCTTCCGTGACCTCTTACTTACCTGGGGCATTATAGTGTGATGGACTTTATAATGTTGATATACCTGTTGTTGTTGTTGTTAGGTGCCATCGAGTCGGTACCGACTCATAGCGAACTTATGCACAGCAGAACGAAACACTGCCCGATCCTGGGCCAACCTCACTACTGTTGCCACGCTTGAGTCCGTCGATATGCCTATAGAGATAGAATAATTGTAGGTTCAGAGATTACTCTGCCCCTTATTTAATTTTGTGAAATTGAGAGAATTATTTTAACTTTTTTTTTTTTTAATTGGGAATAATAATCCTTAGTCCACAACATTGCTATGAAGGATCAATAAATGCTGACTGTTACTATCTGTCTGTTGCTTTTTTCTCCTCCTTATTACTATACATCCTCCATAACAACACTATCTTTAGCTTCAGATTTCTGATTTTGCTATTCCTCATTGCTTATAAAGTCAACTTTTTAAAATGTAGCGTAAATAACCTTTCACAATTTTGATCCCTAATCTTTCTTAATTTAGCTTCCACTACTTTACTTCCTCTGCACTGCAACCACACATACTTTCACATACACATGCGTTAAAATGTGATAATCTTTTGCTGTACTGTTTTTCCTCCTGAATTCTTATCCTTTGTTTCACCTCTTCTTTTTATGTTGAACATACACATTAATCATGATGTAGCTTGCAACTTATGTATCAGCCCTGTATGGGGTTTCCAAGGCTGTAAATCTTTATGGAAGCAGAAAACCTCATCTTTCTTCTGAGGAGCTGCTGGTGGATTTGAACTGCTGACGTTGCAGTTAGCAGCTCTCTGTATAAGTCACTACACTACTAGGATCTTTAAAGATGTAGCTTAGATTTCACCATTTCAACCTTTTCCTGATTCCTATTAGCAAAGATAATTTCCTTCCCATTTATAATCCCTGAAGACTTTCTTCATAACTCTCATATTTTTGATACTGAATTGCATTTATTTTTTGTGCTTATTTTCTTTCTACTAGGTCTAAGATCCCTAAGAGTAGACGCTGAGTTTTTTTTTAAACATTTGAGTGCCTGTTTATGGCATAGTGCCTGGCGCATAGCCGACTCCTAGTAAATTTCAGTTGAATAAGAGCTCTAAGCCATTCCTGTAGGAGAGACCATATTATTTAATCATGTAATTTTGTAACTTAGTATTGCTATTCCCAATTTTACAGATTATCAAACAAAAGTTAATGAGATACTATCACAAAATACCAGTTTTATAAGACATACGGCATATTGGTTGTTAAGCAACTTATCTTTATTACCAAGTTTTAGAATAGCAGTATACTTGCACATTCTTATGTTTTGATCAGAATTTCTTTAGAACTTTTAGATCTAATTTTCATCACAAAATAATTTGAGTTTATGAGATGGTACTATCATCTTTCTTTAAGGTTTTCTTTTACCCCAACCCTAATTAGATTAGAATTGCTTTAAAAAATACTTCTAAGGAAGATAAATTTATAATATGTAACATATCATATACATTTAAATTCCAGTTTGCTTGCTTGTATTTCTTGCTACTCTAGGGTAATGATGCACCTATTGAACAAGAAATTAATAGTGCAGAAACTTACTTTGAAAGTGCCAAAGTAGAATGTGCAGTCCAAACATGTCCAGAATTGCTACGAAGAGGTATGTCACACTATACATTGTAACAATATGGATTAGAAATTGTTAATCTTTTAATGTATTGAGTAATGTATTCTGTGTGGTTACGGAATCTGGCTGTGAACCTTAAGGTCATTAGTTTGGAACTGCCAGCTGTTCTGCGGGAGAAACAAGAGGTTTTCTGCTCCTGTAAAGGTATACAGCCTCGGAAACCCTGTACAGAGTCGCTATGAGTTGGAACCAACTTCATGGCACATAACATGGCACATAACCACCACGACCATAGGCATAGGAATGTGGCGCTATGACCTAATGCATCAGACTGCAAAGGTGTTTGAACTGCAAGGTCGGTGGTTCAAGCTCACCATCTGCTACTTGGAAACCCTATACAGGGTTGCTATGGATCGGAATCGACTCGATGTCACTTAACAACAACAGTGGATTAGTGGGTCATGTATTGGATTCCTAACCATAATGTTAACAGTTCTAGTCCAGCAGGTGCTCTGAAGGAGAAAGATGAGGCTTTCTGCACCCGTAAAGATTTGCAGCTTCAGAAACCCTATACAGGGTTGCTATGAGTCAAAATCGACTCGATACTTTTTTTCCTAATTTTTTTTACATTTTGTCATTGTTTAGAAAATGCTCAACAAAACACCAGTTCACCAGTTTCCACATGTACATTTCGTGGCATTGATTACATTCTTCGAGTTGTACAGCCATTCTTGCCTTCCTTTTTAGAGTTGTTCCTCTCTCATTAGTATAAACTTGATGCTCTTTAATGTTCTTATCTACTCTTTCACTTTACTGTTGTCCCGCTGATTCCATACAGAGATTTCTTAAATAGGCATAATCCTCAAGGCATATAATTTTTTCTTCTAAATAATTTTATTGTGAATTGAGTGAAGGTGTGCAGAGCAAATCATTTTACATTCAACAAATCATGCATTTCATTTCATCTCAGTTAGTTCCCTCAGTGTGACATCACTTACCCCACTCCCACCCTGTGTTTCCTGTTTCTGTTTCTCCTTTCCCTGCCCTTCTGAATTGTATGCATTGATCTCAGTTGGTTAACAAGCTATGAGGTGCATACCTTACTAGTGATGTTGTCTCCTGTATATACCTGTGTGTTGTTTTGAAGAAAATTGAATCATGGAGGTAAGTTCCATTCTAGACCTGAAGGATGACCAAGGTTCATGATCTTGGGGTTCCATCTGTCTCTGTCTTGTCTGTATGCCTGGTCTTTTTTATGATTTTGAGTTTTGTTCCACATTTTCTTCAACTGTATTCAAGACCTTCTAAAGTGATACCTTTTAGAACCCTCGGTAGTTGTAGCCAGGACCCATCTAGTTCTTTTCTCAGGGTCATGGAAACTGCTGTTCATATTGTGTTTCTTTTTTTTTTTTTTAAGTTTTTATTGTGAATTGAGTGAAAGTTTACAGGGCAGATTCAACACATTATGTAGCTTGTTTCATTAAAATGATTATAATTCCCTCCATGTACCATCAGTTAATAGTATTTCTCTCTATTCATTTTAGCTTTTTTTTTAACACTCAGGCATATATAATAATTTACACCACCAATGGGCACATTCTGCAAGTCTGCCTCCTGACCACCAGCTCTCAGTTCCTCTCTTCCCATGAATCTAGAGTCCTCAGCTGCTCCATCTCTCCATGTCCCTGTCTCTGCCTCCATCTTTGGTGTAATTACTTCTCTGGATAAGGTCTCGCATTCCGCTTGTGCTCTTCTCCTTTGATGGTCCTAGGGTCCTTTGTTTCTGGACTTCCCCATTTTGATACAAAACTTCTACCTTTACAATTGTGACAGTCACAGTTAGTCATGATAACTATTACTCACTATTGAACCATAAGAATCTTATCCCCATCTCTTTTAACCAGACCCATCTAGACAAGATGAAAACTACTCAGTGGGGTTTCTACCTTCCTCTGCACACTCTGAAATAAACTACCTCTTGAAACCTTGTAATCCAGTTATTTCGTGCCTTTATTGCCCCCTCATTTTAGGTAGCCAATGTAAGTTTCCTATCCCTATCTAACCTGAGTACAGAAGGGATAGCATTGATACTTGATGTGAGGACTTCTTCCCTCTCTGTTGGTATTTAGAGTTACTACCTCCATGACTATAGGTCAAGTTCATCAAATTGTAGCAATTTACCTTTGTTTATTAAAAAAAAAAAAAATTTTTTTTTTTTTTAATCTTCCTCTAGTCGAGTTCTGATTATCAAACCATCTAGGCTAGGTCAAATGTGTACCTTCCGCAACTTGGGGTGTTCTTCTCCCCTCACTTCATATCAGCTGGATGCTTCACTCTCAGCTCTAGCCTTCTGTGACTATCTCCTTGTCAATGGGCTCAGATGTCCCCAGGTCTCACCACACTTTAGACCAACCAGCCCTTTCTCTTCCCTCTCTCATCTCCAGGTCCACGGGAGTCTATGGACCGTGGGTTGAACTCAGCCCGTTTCTTTATTGCTGCCTTTCCCCCTCTTCCACTCACCAGTAGACCATTGTGGTCATCGGCAAGCTTACATGCCTGCTCATGTGTTCCCTTTGAGTTTCAGTCTTAGATCATATTGTGTTTCCAAGCATCTTCAGTTTTCATCCATCACTTTTCTTTCCTCTAGACAGGGAGGGACCAATAACTGTACCATAGATCGCCACTCAGTAAACTTTTAAGGTCTCAGTCACTACTCATCAAAGGAGGATGCAGAGCATTGTCTTTGTGGACTAGTTATGCCAGCTGACCACGGTCTTCCCAGACTATAGCCCTGAATCCCCAGCCACTATGATTCATTCCCTCAAGGTGTTTGGTAATATAGGCAGTCCTTTTTTTTAACTAGTTAAGCTGAGCTACTGTTCAATTTTCAGAAAACTTCAGGGGATATTTTGGCTTGAAGTTTGTCTTAGGGCAGTAGCTTCAGGAATTCATCTAACCTCTGTGACTCCAGAATTTGGAGCCAATGAAACTTGAAATTTCTTATTTACATATCCCTTCTTTTTATCAGGATTGCTTTGTAGCATCCGTGATCAAGAAAGTGATAGTTAGGCACTATCCAGTTTTTCTGGTTTCATGGCAAAAGGAGGCAGTTGTTCATGAAGGCAGTTAGCCCCACATTTCCTATCTTCCTACTAATCCTGACTCCTTCTCCTCTCTTGCATCAGGTGAGTAGAGACCAATTGTGCCTTGAGATGATTACTTGTAAGATTTGTAGACCCCAAACACTCTACAACAAACTGTTTTTGTTGTTGTTAGGTGCTGTCCAGTTGGTTTTGACTCACAGAAACCCTATATATAACAGAACAAAACACTGCCCAGTCCTGGACCATCTTCACCGTTTTTGTTATGTTTGATTGAGTCCATTGTTTCTGACTCCATTTCGTTTCCATCTTGTTGGGTTCTTCCTCTTTTTCGGTGGTCCTTTACCATGCATGATGTCCTACTCCAGGGACTAGTCCCTCATTACAACATGTCCAAAGTACAAGAGACAAAGTCTCGTCATCCTCGCTTCTGAAAAACATTCTGGCTGTAATTCTTCCAAGACAGATTTGATAGTTGTTCTAGCAGTCCATGGTACTTTTAATATTCTCCAACACCATAATTTAAATACATTAATACTTTCACAGTCTTCCTTATTGTATTGTTCAACTTTCACATGCATATGAAGTGATTGAAAATGCCGGCTTGGGTCAGGAACATGTTAGTCCTCAAACTGACATCTTTATTCTTGAAAACTTTAAAGAGATTTTATGCAGCAGATTTGACTAATGGAATACATAATTGGATTATTATTTTTAAAAATATTTTATTGTAAATTATGTGATAGTTTACATGGGAGAGCATTAGGTTTACATTCATCCTGTCGTATATCATTACATTGCCATGGTTACAGTCCCCTCCAGGAATCATCAACCAACCAAATGGTACACCCCACAAGCCTGCCCCGTGGTCGTCAGCACACAGCCCCTCTCCTTCTCTGGGTCTAGAGTTCCCAGCCGCTCCATCTCTCCATGTCATCGTCTCTGCCTCCATCTCTGGTGTCACTGTTTCTCTGGGTAGGGTACTGCACTCCGCTCTTCTCCCTTGATGGTCTCAGGGACCTCCGCTCCTGGATTACAAAGTCAACCACTCCCCTCCTTTTGCTACAAAATGTCTACCTTTACATTTCCAACACCCACAGTCAGTCCTGATAGTAATTATTCACCGTTGTACCACGTGAGTGCTATCCACATCTTTCATCAGTCCCACTCAGACAGATTGGATACTACTCTGGAAATTCTACCTTCCTCTGTGCCCTCAGGAACTTAGCTCCCTCTTGAACGCTTGTAAGCCAGTCATTTCTTGCCTTTGTAGCTTCCCCCTTTTTAGGTAGCCAGTGTCCAAGTTGCCCATCCCTGTCTACCCTGTGTATTGAGGGGGTGCAATGATCCTCGCTGTAAAGATTTAGATTTGTTCCCTCTATTTACTGCATCCGGAGGTGTAGGTCAAATTCATCAAATTGTATCATATTGCTCCTTTTTTCTTTTTCTTCTTTCTCCTAGTTGAGCTCTGATTATCCAGCCATTGAAGCCAGATCAAGTGGGTATTAGCTGTAAGTGTGGGTGTTCTTGTGCATATGCCCTCTCTTCTTATCAGCTGGATGCTTCATTCTCCATTCTAGTCCTCTGTGGCTACTGTGTCACTGACTCTGGACCCAAGAGTCCCCAGGTCTTGCCAAACTGCTTGCCAACCAGGTCTCCATCCATTTCACAGGAGTGTATTGAACATGGTTGGACTTAGCTCGCAGCTTCATTGCTGTTTTTCCCTCACTTCCCCTTATCAGTGACCAGTGTGGTCACCAGTCAAAGCACGTGTTTGCTTGTGTATTCCATTGAGTCTCAATCTTGGAAGGGGGTTTGCCTTGATGACTCCTGAGCAGGCAACTTGCTTGTTCTTGTAGTAGTCATTTAGGCTGCTGTTATTCTTTTGTATTTTTCTTGTTAATCTTTCTATCAAGAAGTATTTTGTGTTCT